TTGATTTGCAGTGGCTGGCAATTAGGGATTGAAATTTGCAGGGGTATTTTTGTCTTTGCAATCAATATTGCTTTATTTAAAGGAAATTATTAACAAAGTTTGTGTTTTGGGTGGGAAAGTGTCATTAAGCCATTTTTTGGATGGGAAAAAGTGGTTAACTCTATTGAAAAATCAACTAAATTTTAGTTGGGTTTATTTATTTATTTTTAAAATGGGGGTATTGTTAAACAAACTAACATGATTTAAGTGTTCTAATTAAATTATGGGGTTTTTCTCAACCTCAATGTTTTAATCAAATAAACAAATTTCTCCTTAGATTTTAGAAATAACATAAATTCTCTTGCCGTAAGTGAGCCGTTAATTTATCACATGATGTTTAATAAATATCTATTATATTGTCTCTTGTTGTTATTTTAATACCAAAAGTGTAAGAATTTCTACTACTATTATATTTTAGGAAAATTTTTGTTACTTAATTATAAGAGTAATACTACAAATATAACATTTTTTTATAACATTTTTTATACAATATTATGTGGCAAAGTATGATTAATTGATTTTAAATTAAAATTAAATTTTTACTTAAATATCTTTTACCACATAATATTGTATGAAAAATATTATGCGAGAATGTTATATGTATAATATTATTCTAATTATAAATTTAGGGAGATTATTTTATTGCTTTTATGGAAAGCACGTATACAACTGGTCAACTTTTCAATATTATCATAACAATATTATAAAGAATTTTAACAGTTGAGTAATAAATAACCCACGTCTTCTAGAAGAAAAGTTATTATATCGTAATTATTGTTTATACTTTAGGATATTGTAAAAGTAGAAAAATAAAAATTCTCATAAGCAAAAGAAATTACAATATAATTTCTATAAATTAATAATTTTGGGATCATATAAATTCGATTAATTAAAAAAGTATTAATTAATCGATAAATTAATATTATTAATTTATAAAGTGTATTTACGATTTTATGAACATATATTTAATCAATTAAAAATTCATTGTATTTTATCAGTGTAAGCAATTGAATATGAATTAATTAATTAAATATATATTAAAACATTAATTTAAATTCATTATACTTATATACTTAATTAAATAACATTTTTTTATATATAATAAATTCAGTGTACTTATATACTTAATTAAATAATATTCATTATATATAATTACATTAATTTAATTAAATGTATTCAACAAAAAAATATGTGTGCATAATTTAATTAAATTAAATGTATAAACAACACTTTATAATTTTTTATTGCAATTCGAGAATTCAACCCCAAAACTTATAAATGCAATGAGAAAAATTAGAGATAAGATCTAACAAGATTTAAATTTTAAGAAAAAACAAGTAACATTAAAGCAATGTTTTGAAAACCGGACCGGACCTTGACCTGGTCAAGGGTCTAGTTATAGTTTGATTGGTCCGGCCGATTAAACCGTCGTTTTAACAGGTGGTCCGAAAGTTTAAAATCTTGCAAAAACACCCTTAAAATATACGTTTCACTCCCTACAGGTTTGAAATCTAGCAAATACATCCTTATGATCTGTTTGGACTTTGACTTTTCTGACCAAATTTTGGCTGATTCCGGTGGCCAAAATTCAATCTGACACCACCACTTAAACCACCGTCCTCCACTCAACAAAACCTTGGAATTTGGTAGTCCCCCATTTGCCGGTCGTGACTTGCGAACATCGTCGCAATTAGGTTGATTTTTCTGACCAAATTTTGGCATAAAAAATTCAATCCAACACTACCACCGAAACCACCGGCCTCCACTCTACAAAATTCATCTAACCTCGGCACTTGGTAGCCCCTTGTTCTTCGGCTATGACTTGCGTATTGGGTTGATTTTTCTAGCCAAATTATGGCTGATTCTGGGGTCCAAAATTCAATCCGACGCCACCCCTTGAACCATCGACCTCCACTCTACAAAACTCTTCTAACCCTGGCATCTGATAGCCCCTTGTTCATCGACGGTGAGATTAGGGATTTGGGTAAACAGTAAAATAGGAAATTAGGATCGAAGAGGACATCGGTAGACGGTCTGACTGATCTGACTAGCCGGTCTAACTTGGTTTTCAGAATATTGCAATAGAGTCATATTTTAATAAAATATCATAGTCAATGAGCAACTTATATATTTATGATATGAACTGTGAACAGGACTACAAAGTTATGTAGAGTTTTCCATAAAAGTATAATTTTATTAATTTACCAAAATTGTTAATTTAACCATATATATAATAAATGTTATTAATTTATCGAGTATTAGTTTATAGGGATTATGCCGTATATTACTTTATAGATATGGTTTCCTCAACAATATTCCAACGTTTTGTAAAAATGAAAGAGTTAAAACATTAACCCCTTCAGTTTAATAAAAATCTTTTCGAGATTTTTAAAATTCATTAAAAACTTTTACAGCTGTATAATTTGTTTATGAAAAATGGGTTAAATACTTAAATTTAGTGAAATAAATTTAAAAAGTCAACTGATTTCAATTGGGTTTATTTAAACAAACATGATTGGTTATTTAATAATTCTACTTCTTTTATTTGGAAAGTACGTAAAGCTATTGAATTTTATTTTAACATTATTAGAAAGAATCTTAACAATTGGATAATTAAAAAAAAAATCCCGATCCTCTAGAAGAGAAGTTATTACGCTTTTATATAATTATTGTTTAAGGTTTTCTTCCATCTCGAGGTTTAATCAAACAGCAAAACTCTTTAATATTTCAAAAATAACTTTAATTATAAGCAAAAGACATGTTCTCACCCAAGGTTTTGCTAATCCTTCAGTTCCCACCCAAAAACTAATACCACTAGCAATTTTTAGCCTCTTGCATGCGTGTTGACGGTGTTATTATTATACTGCTCTTGACTAATATATTAGTAAATTACTTTTTAACCCTAAATTTATAGAATTAGAAAATTAAATATATTACTTTCAATTTTATTTCAATAACACCCTTTTCTTCAACGTTCATATCATCCCCATGTCCAACCACCCAACTAGAGATGGCGGTGGACCGTGCCGACTTAAAAATTCAAGGCCCATCATGCCATGGATCGGGCCATGCCAAAGCCCACAAAAATTTGTGCCCTATCGCGCCATGTCGGCCTACCAAATTTGAAGGCCCACGGCAAGACACGACCCACTATATATCGTGTTGTGCCTTAGGTCGTGTCGTTGGTTGTGCCATGGGCCGGCCTACGTGCTTTGTAAAAATATCGATATTTATAAATAATGGTAATTTTGATTTATTATTAATAATTATTATAAAAATATTTTATATTTTATATTTAGTGACATTTTGTATTTATATTAATTTAAAAAATATATAATCACTATAAAATATAATAAAATAATGAGACATTAAAATATTAATTGAATTTCAACACTTTTTATTACTTATAAGTTATAATTATAAATTATAAATACAAACTTAGAAATTAAGATTAAAAATTATTATATTTCTTCATTTTCATTCATTTCTAAATTCTTAAAATCTTCAAATATATCTTCAACAACACATTTTTTAATTTTTATTTTTTTCGTGCTGTACCGTGTCGGCTCACATGCTTTTTTTGAGGTTCACGACATAGCTTGCATATTTTCATACCGACTGTGCCGGCTCTACACTTGATCACTGCGACCACCCAGCCATTGCCGCCATCGCCACCAAACCACTATCACCATTTAGCCAAATTAAAAAAATTTCAGGAAAATCCTATACATCTCAAATTTATCAACACCCTCTTTAATCCAATAAATTTTCTTTCAATTCAAACAATCTTCATCACCAACAATCCAAACAACACAACACCAACAATCCCAACAAACTCTATCAAATTTATTTAAAGTAGTGGCTAGATCGGGCAACCATGATTTGACCACCTCTTGGTCGGAATGGGTTGCTAAACGACAACACCTTGGTGGAGTTAACTAGGTCGCGGTGACCAACGATTGTGAGAGGGTTGGTGGCCAGATCGTAGGCGCCAAATCTGGTTTTGTGGCCGACTAGATCGGGAAGCCACAATTTGACCACCTCTTGGTCGGAATGGCTTGCCAAACGACAACACCTTAGGGGAGTTGACTAGGCCGCGGTGGCTGGAAATTGTTAGAGGGTAGACGACTATGGGTTAAGGAGGGAGAGAGGAGTACGACTGCTAGTTAGGGAGAGAAATGGGAGGTTATGGCTGAGGGAGGGAGAGAGAAGCGACGGAAAAGAAGAAATAGTTTCATAAATAGGGTGCTTGTAAGAGAAATTTGAGATGTAAAGGGTTATTTTGAAAATTTTGTTTTTATTTTAGATTTAATGTAGTGGAAATAACCACTTTATTCTTTAACCATTACATTAAACAGTTTTCGGTTGATTTAAGGGTAAGAATATAGAATATATAAAATCATGAGTGGGAACTTGCAGATTCACAAAACCTTGGGTGGGGACATGTCTTTTACTAATTTCTATGCAATTAGAAACTTAGAATTTAGGATAGGATAAGTTAATGCATATTTATGTAGTTGCTCAACTATTGTTTATTTCAACACTAGAAACTTAAACGATTGAATGATTTCTGCTATTATATGACCTTGTGGGGATTATTGTAATTAACCCTATTGTTTATTTTATACAGGATATCGTAAGAATAAAACAAAAAATCTCACAATTAAAGGTTATGAATGATATTACTTACCAGACACGGTATCCAGAACCGGCGCTGACAACTGTAAGAATACTGACAATTACTCAACAATATCCCAACTATATCTCGACCTTCTGTGGAAAAATAAAATAATACGTAATCTTCTAGAAGCAATTCCATATTTCCAACAATTGAAGTTTTAACACATCAAATCAACCTCACATTCCTCTGTCACTCTCCTTATATAAATGCTAAACTAATTAACATCCCAATATATGCAAAACTAATCTCTTTTGAAGGGTTTTTGTAGCATTTTTTAACGATGCATGGGGGAGATTTGTACAATGGGGGAGGTAGTTTACGTTTGGGAAGTGGTTCAATGAGAAGTAATGGAAGAGATTTATTTTCGAGGTCTTTAAGAGAAGATGATGATGATGAAGAAGCATTAAAATGGGCTGCATTGGAGAAATTGCCAACTTATGATCGTTTGAGGAAAGGCATATTGACTACTCCCGAAGGTTGTGTTGATGAAGTTAATGTGAATAATCTTGGACTTCAGGAAAGGCAGAAGTTGATTGAAAAGTTGGTTAAAATTGCTGAAGTTGATAATGAGAAGTTCTTGTTGAAACTCAAGAACCGCATTGATAGGTAAAATTTTATAAAATTTCATTATGCTAAATATGAAACAGAGGAAGTCGGTTCTGGTTCTTGAAGTTCTTAATTTCATGTGTATTGTTCTTTGATTGTTTTGTTGTGATTTTCCTTTATTTTGAATAATTTTCAGAGTTGGGATTGAAATTCCGAAAATCGAGGTTCGATTTGAACATCTAAATGCGGAAGTAGAAGCATATGAAGGAAGTAGAGCTTTGCCTTCATTTTTTAACTTCTGTTTCAGCATCATAGAGGTAACAATTCATAGATATGAATCATGAATCTTGTAAAAAATTTATGTGATTTTGTTAAGTTTTAACTAACGTTTTTCTTAATCTCTTAATTTGGTTTCAAGGGTCTCTTGAATTCTCTCCGTATTCTTTCAAGTAAAAAGAAACAATTGAAAGTTCTGCAGGATGTCAGTGGAATTATCAAGCCAGGAAGGTGGAATCGAATCCCTAATTTTGTACCTTGAAAGCAAATATAGAAAGTCTGTGTACTGATTTCTTTTATTCCTTCATTGCAGAATGACATTGCTTTTGGGTCCTCCAGCTTCCGGAAAGACTACTCTACTATTGGCTTTGGCCGGCAAGCTTGATTCTTCTCTAAAGGTGAGATTTCATACATGAAATTCGCTTTAAAATGTTGTCTATTTGGTTAGTATTTCTAATTTGGGAAGTTAATTATGTTCTGTAGACATCTGGGAGGGTGACATACAATGGGCATGAGATGCATGAGTTTGTGCCACAGAGAACTGCTGCTTATATCAGTCAACATGATGTGCATATAGGAGAGATGACTGTAAGGGAAACTTTGGCCTTCTCTGCAAGATGCCAGGGGGTTGGAACGCGTTATGGTTAGTTTGATGGATTGCTTTCTTATTTCCCCCTTCAAGGATAAAATAAAAAATGGGTCGATGAATTTTTAAATAGTTTAAGCATTTCTGATTGCTACTTTTGTAAAATGAAGAGTTATTAGCGGAATTGTCAAGAAGAGAGAAAGCCGAAACTATTAAGCCTGATCCTGACGTTGATGTCTTCATGAAGGTGAGAGCATACTGATTGAGCTTCAATGTTCTATTCCTACCATGTTTAGCAAATCGAATTGGATTGTTATCAATCTTATAGGCCTGGAGCTGCACTCATGGTGATTGAACTTATATTTGTCTCTCTCAATTCTCAATTCACAGGCAGTAGTAACAGAAGGTCAAGAAGCCAATGTGATCACTGATTACATTCTGAAGGTAACGTCTTTGTTTAATAAATTTTAACATAATGAACCCTTATCAAGAACAAGTAACATAATGACAATAGTTGAATCACACTTTCTCTCAAATTTTTCAGATTTTAGGACTGGAAGTCTGTGCTGATACAATGGTGGGTGATGAAATGTTTAGAGGAATATCAGGAGGACAAAAGAAGCGAGTTACAACAGGTATGTCAAACTTCATGAATCATTTATGTTCCAGAGATGGATAACACTCTGCCATCTTTTTCAATTTAAGAATATAATAATTTCAATTATAGGTGAAATGCTTGTTGGACCAGCGAATGCAGTGTTCATGGATGAGATATCTACAGGTTTAGACAGCTCTACAACTTTCCATATTGTAAATTGTATCAGGCAAACCATTCACATCCTTGATGGAACTGCTCTGATCTCTCTCCTTCAGCCAGCACCAGAGACTTATGATCTATTTGATGATATTATCCTTCTATCTGAAGGTCAGATTGTGTACCAGGGTCCCCGTGAACAAGTTCTAGACTTTTTTGAATCCATGGGCTTCAAATGTCCCGAAAGAAAAGGCAGCTATTTCTTGCAAGGGTGTGTGCTGCTAAGATGGATTTTTTTTTTTTTTTTTTTTTTTTTTTTTTTTTTTTAATTTTATCACGTCAATGAACAGAAAAAGGAAGAAATAGGAGATTTCTTCTAAAGATGAGGTTTTCTTTCACCTATTTATGTACAATATGACAATGGAAGTAGCTTTAAAAGATGAGCGTCTCATGTTAAGTGTCACAATCAATCTTCATGGACAATGAAATGTTGCAGGTAACTTCAAAGAAAGATCAGCAGCAGTATTGGTCAAGTGAAGATGAGCCTTACGAGTTTGTCACAGTCAAGGAATTTTCTGATGCATTTCAATCATTCCATGTGGGTCGTAAACTTGCTGATGATCTTGCTATTCCATTTGATAAGAAAATGAGCCACCCAGCTGCTTTGACAACCAGAAATTATGGTGTTAACAAGAAGCAATTGTTGAAAGCTTGTATCTCAAGAGAACTTTTGCTGATGAAGAGGAACTCGTTTGTCTACATGTTCAAGCTCATCCAAGTGGGTATTAACTGCAGTTTCAATTACTTTAATATTTTATTTATGTGATATTAACTCATTAAAATTTCCCATGTACTAGCTCATAACAATGGCAACAGTTGGCATGACACTCTTCTTTCGAACTAAGATGCACCGAGAATCAGTGACAGATGGAGTCATTTACACGGGTGCCATGTTTTTCTCTCTAGTTACAATCATGTTCAATGGAATGGCAGATATTTCAATGACCATAGTTAAGCTTCCTGTTTTTTACAAGCAAAGAGATCTCCAATTCTTTCCTTCATGGGCATATGCTCTTCCCTCATGGATCCTTAAGATTCCCGTAACCTTTGTAGAGGTTGTTGTGTTTGTATTCACAACCTATTATGTAATTGGGTTTGATCCCAATGTCGAAAGGTAAAAAGATAAGAAAATTGCTAGGAACTAGTATTAATTTTTACATATTAATTTTTTTCAATTGATAAAACTGTTTTACAAGGTGATCAACATGCTGCAGGTTGTTTAAGCAGTTCTTGCTGCTCTTGATACTTAACCAGGTGGCTTCTGCATTGTTCCGACTGATTGCTGCAACAGGCAGAAACCTGGTTGTTGCTAATACATTTGGTGCATTTGCATTGCTGCTGCTTTTTGCTTTGGGTGGATTTGTCCTTTCACGAGGTATGAGAAGTGCACATTTTAATAAAACACTTTTAACATCTTATTCAAATTATAAACATAACATTTTCTTTTTCTTGTTTAATAACACAGAGGACATCAAGGATTGGTGGACATGGGCTTATTGGTGTTCACCTTTGATGTATGGGCAGAATGCAATAGTGGTTAATGAGTTCCTTGGAGATAGTTGGAGAAAAGTAATAACTTAAATGAGTCTTGATTACATTTGTGTATTTGTATTTTAATTATTTTCTGATGTCTGAAATGCTTTCATGCCAAAGTTTTTGCCAAATTCAGCTGAACCACTGGGAGTTTTAATTCTGAAGTCGCGTGGGTTCTTCCCAGATGCATACTGGTATTGGCTAGGAGTAGGGGCACTAGCTGGTTTTACACTACTGTTCAACTTTGGCTTCACTTTAGCTCTCACTTATCTCAACCGTGCGTATCTTTACAGTCTTCACATTAGTTCCTTAAATAAATTATAGAATATGTTCTAATTTTATGCAAATATGTGCAGCAATTGGTAAACCTCAGGCTGTTGTGCCAGAGGAATCTCAAAGGGATGAGCATGATAACAAAAATGGAGGAGTTAGTCAGTTATCAAACCATGAAAGCAACTCGGGAAACAGAGCTCAGTCAGGTGGTAGAGCTGCTCAGGCTAGTCATGACAAGAAAAAAGGAATGGTTCTTCCATTTGAACCACATTCCATCACCTTTGATGAAATTACATACTCTGTTGACATGCCGCAGGTAAAATAAAATTTTACAAATAATACATTTATGCAAAACTTGAATGATATATTGTTTCAATTTAATTTAGTTCAAACGTGTAACTACTTTGTTCAATCAAAATTTTCAGGAAATGAAACTTCAAGGTGTTGTGGAAGACAAACTTGTGCTTCTGAAGGGTGTGAGTGGTACTTTTAGGCCTGGTGTTCTTACTGCTCTGATGGGTGTTAGTGGTGCTGGTAAAACCACTCTGATGGATGTGTTGGCTGGAAGGAAAACAGGCGGATATATTAATGGGAACATCACAATTTCTGGTTACCCAAAGAAGCAAGAGACATTTGCTCGTATTTCAGGATACTGTGAGCAAAATGATATCCACTCTCCTCATGTTACTGTAGAAGAGTCTTTATTCTACTCAGCCTGGCTTCGATTACCCCCTGAAGTAGATTTTGAAACTAGAAAGGTTGGTCTGTGAAATTCCTTCAAAGCTTATTGTCATTTTTTCTCCTTTTGTCAATTAGCCCACTGGAAGAAGCTTGATGTTGAACACATTCTTTCTGATGGTTACACTAATTTATAGTTTCACCTGTGGTTCTCAGATGTTCACTGAGGAAGTCATGGAGCTTGTGGAATTAAAGCCATTAAGACGAGCACTAGTTGGTTTGCCTGGTGTAAATGGCCTGTCAACTGAGCAGAGAAAGAGGCTTACCATAGCAGTTGAGCTCGTAGCGAACCCCTCTATCATATTTATGGATGAGCCAACTTCAGGTTTAGATGCAAGAGCTGCTGCAATTGTTATGAGAACAGTTAGGAATACAGTTGACACAGGAAGAACGGTGGTATGCACCATTCATCAACCAAGCATCGACATATTTGAAGCTTTTGATGAGGTGAGAAATTTTAAGACTACTTCAAAGTAGTTAATGTTTCTTTTGGTCTTTGAGACTCTGAGTATGATACATTTAATTTGCATTGCAGCTATTCCTACTGAAGCGGGGGGGACAAGAGATTTATGTTGGGCCATTGGGTCACAATTCTGTCAGTCTTATAGAATATTTTGAGGTATGGTATGATGGAGATGAATATCTACAATAAACAAGGAATGAAAATTTTAACTTCAAATTGCATATGAAACTAGCTAATGCATGCATTGTTCTTCTTGTGTAGAAAATTGAAGGAGTTGGTAAAATCAAAGAAGGTTACAATCCCGCTACTTGGATGTTGGAAGTTACCGCTTCATCGCAAGAAGTGGTTTTGGGGATTGAGTTTGCTGGTATCTTTAAAAACTCAGAATTACATAGGTAGGTTTCTGTTGGAAGTTACAATTTTATGAGTAATCTAGTTTGACTTTATTGCTGATGTATGTCATATGTTTCAGGAGAAACAAAGCACTTATCAAAGATTTAAGCAAGCCAGTTCCAGGTTCAAAGGATCTTCATTTCCCTACTCAATTTGCACAATCATTATTCACCCAGTGCATGGCTTGCTTATGGAAACAACGTTTGTCATACTGGCGTAATCCATCATACACTGCTGTTAGATTTTTGTCCACAACTGTCATAGCTTTGATATTTGGGACAATGTTCTGGGACATGGGTACCATAACGTGAGTTACAACTTAAAAATGGAGACAATAAACTTATATGTAATTCAAAGTCTTATAGTTTCTTCTGCCTTTTAATTTTAATTTTGACCATTTTAAAAATAGGTCAAAGCAGCAAGATCTGTTTAATGCAATGGGTTCCATGTATACTGCTGTTATCTTCCTCGGCGTCCAAAATGGTGCAGCTGTGCAGCCTGTAGTTGCTGTTGAAAGGACAGTATTCTATAGAGAAAGAGCTGCTGGAATGTATTCAGCTATGCCATATGCAATTGCTCAAGTAACTACATTTCACATGTTACTTCCTGGACACATAATTGGTGAATTTCTCTACAGAATTCTAAACTTTTTTTTTTTTTTCTGTTTTTTCAGATAGTGGTAGAACTTCCTTATGTATTCTGTCAAGCTGCAGTCTATGGCGTTTTAGTATATGCAATGATTGGATTCGAATGGAATGCTGCTAAGTTCTTCTGGTATTTATTCTTCACGTACTTCTCATTTCTCTACTTCACCTTCTATGGCATGATGGCAGTGGCTATGACACCAAACCACCACATTGCTTCCATTGTTTCATCTGCATTTTACGCAATGTGGAACCTCTTTTCAGGCTTCATCATCCCAAGAACTGTAAGTATAATCTTCCCATCAACTCCATTCAATTACTAGTTTTCCTCGCCTCATAGACATCGACAAATTTAACTCATTCCTTTTACTCGTCTTATTACAGAGAATTCCCATATGGTGGAGATGGTACTACTGGGTATGTCCAGTATCTTGGACCTTATATGGGTTGGTTGCATCACAGTTTGGAGATTTACAGAATAAAGTTGAAACTGGTGTTACAGTAGAACAGTTCTTAAAAGATTACTTCGACTTTGAGCATGATTTTGTTGGAGTAGTAGCAGTCATTGTTGTTGCATTCACAGTGCTCTTTGCAATCATCTTTATAGCAGGGATTAAGGTATTTAATTTCCAGAGTCGGTAGAAACCGAATCCTAATTTGTGTATTTAGAGAATTCTGCTGTGAAAATTTCTTTGTTCATGGATTTATATGAATAATATTTTGATTAAAAGTTGATACAAGTAGTTTAAAAAAATTTTAATTGTTAAATCTTTTACAGTGTTTCTCTCCCTGAAAACTTGATAGTTAAAAGATTTTCTGGTCTTTGGTAAATATCACTTAGGTGAGCAAAGATCCAAAATATGAAGCTTTTATGATACATTACTGAATTACAGGGGGTGTAAAAAAATTCCCCATCAATGGTACCAACATGTCGTCTCAACAAGATAACCTGTAGTTTTTATAACCCACAATCGTAGCAACAAATGAGATGTAGTTTATAAAAATTTAAAGGACATGTCGTTTATCTTCCTTTCTTATAAACTGCGTGCCCTTTTTTTTGTGGATGACATGTCGTTTTTCAATTTAGACGACATGTAGTTTTATTTCAACGACATGTTGTACTTTTGTCGAATATTATCTTAAAGCGTGGTGGAGATGGGTGATAGGGTTCATATGGGCGAGGCTCTAGGCCTTAATCATTCCGCCTTGGATGACGATTATCATTGGAGGTGTGTATAGTTTTGTTTATCTCGTCCTCTTCCCATCTTATTTGAGTGATGACTCGGATTAGAGCATCTTCCATGGTGTTGTACTCGAGCTTAGTGAGATCCTTGTAAAATTCTCTATTAGGGGGGATATTTTGTAAACCTGAGTTGACTTGAGTAATATTTTTCAAAGAAATGTCATTCCTTATATGAAGGGCAGTTCATATTTTGTAAGAAAAATATCAAATACATCCCCTATGGATGTGTAAAGATTTGATAAACCTAATATTCGAAATCTTTCTGGAGTAGAATGATATTTTTCAATAACTCTACGTAACAAATTAGTTCACCAAAAGCAGCACATAAGATGGTTCTCCTCTACGTTTCGAATATGTGGTTAATTAAAACAAGATCTAATAACTCTAAATATTTCATTCATAAAATTATTTAAAAAATAAAAATAGTTTCTTAAATAAAAATCTTTCGTACCATATAAATTAATTTCCAATTTAGGTATCAACTTTATATTAATACTTAATTTGATAATTCTCTTATTTATAGTCCTGATAGGTTGAGATAATTCTCTTCAATAAATTAAAGTATAAATTAAAATTCCTTTATATTCCGACCAATTTAAAGTCAGGTGACGTTTGATGACTTGTTTAATAACTGTTTTGTACTATTTACTAAATAACTTTGAAATTTTTTGATATGTTCGTTTATAATTTTTGAATTTTTGATTAACAATTAATTAGCTAATTAGTTAATCAACAAAAAAAATAACTCAAACTCGTTAGAACAAATGAGATTGTATGATGTGCAGCGCAATTAAGATTAATTGTTTTTAAGAGTAAAGACTTTTCCCACCCAAGGTTTGCCTTAATGACACTTTCCCAACAAAAAAGTTTCAAAATATCACTTTGGTTTATATTCCGACCAATCATCAGCTAATCCCGGCATCTTTCTGACCCCAGGCACCACCATTCTCTTTCTCGATCAGCACTCACCAAAACCTCTCAAACCTTGCTCCTGCCAACCTCGTTAATCGCCGACAATTGAGCGATTGTGTAATGCATAGCGTCTCTCCCAAATCAGATTCCAACCACCCTGACCACCAAAATCCAACTTGCCACCACAAAAAAACTCACTGATATCCCCTTTTCAAAAGCCCCAACAGTTTAAACCGAGTTTTCTTTCTATTAGTTGCCGAGTCGGAAAGTGGATTCTGGATACTAAACAAAATACAAACTTTGGGTGGGAAAGTGGTATTTTGAAACTTTTTGGGTGAGAAAGTGTCATGAAGGCAAACCTTGGGTGGGAAAAAGTTGTTTACTCTTGTTATTAAATCTTACAATAAAGATTTACTCACAACCCAATCTTATAAATTTTCTTTTATAACTCCGATGTGACAGTTTGCAATTGGTCAATTCTCAATTGGGTAGATTTGATCCATTGTTTGTCAGATAAGACTCATTACAAGCTGACCAATTGTAATTTTTCATGTCTGTTTTTTGAGAGAAAGTTTATAAAATTTGGTTTTAAGTGTAGTATTTCCCTAAATCTTATTTTCTTCCGTTTGTATAAAAGAGTCAATGAACAAAATGGAAGTTCAAGCCCCTTTAACTCCAAACTTTTTCGGAAAACACTTTCAAAAACACATGGGCATACGGTTTGGGCCGCATGGCCAACATTTAGGTTAAAATTAAATGAACCATTAATCCATGTCTCAACATGTTGACATTCTTTAAATAATTTAAATTCTTCAATAACTCAACTACTAACAAATTAAGTCACCTTTACACCCATTTTTCTCTAACTCCAAGTCATCATATAACTAGGATATTGTACCTTAATTTCGCATATTTTTCTATTACATATCTTAAGTTCAATGCATAATTAAAAATTTAAAAGTATATATTAAATAAATAAAAAAACTAATCCTAAGTCTAATAATCAAATATACTTGATAATTTGAAGATAGTTGTGTCTTGTGTGTGCTGGTTTGGCATGTTTATTTCACTATTTTTAATTTTTACTGCATGTGGTATTATTAATTAGGACCAAGAACAATTAAAGCATTTTAATTACTTAGATGTGAAAGTCAGCTTAATTAAACAGAATAATTAATTAATTAGAATCTAATCTACCAGCCTTTATTAATTAATATTATGGCTGCCAAAGGTCAGAAATGTGGTGGTTTGGGTAAAATTCTTATATAGTTAGACATCTTGTGTATACATAAAATCATAGTTTATAAGACAAAAGTTAATTGATTAAATTTAACTATGTTTAATGCACATAAAACTTAAAGAAAATATGTTTTGTGGGTGGCTGCTTTTTTACAAAATGTTTTTAAAAAACGGAAAATATGTTTAGAAAAAACAAATTACAAAGTTATTTTTGGTGTTTTCATCATTTCTCACATCAATTAAATTCATCCTCTCCAAATACATACATATACCCATCAATATCATGCAATTTGTTTGTAAAAAAATTTATCCCTATCTCTCATTCATTGAATGATTTGGTACAATTGTTTCTATTTAAAGGTCAAAATAGTTTTAATAATGTAAATTGAGTATCAAATTTAATGCATGCAAGTGAATAATATTACCTTGAGCCGTTTGGATCGGGTTAATATTAGATAACTAGGGTAATATTTTTTAAATTGAGTAGATGACGATGTCTGGTTGGTTTGTAAAAAATTATTTATGGAATATTTTATGACAAACCGTATCATTTGGGGGGTATATTTATGGTAACCTTAATACCGCGGGGCCAGGGGGGGGGGGGGGGGGGGTGCTGTTATTAAAACTTACCCTAGTATTACAATTTTTTCCCATATTGCCCCTAAACAGTTGAGCATTTTGTCCAAATTAACCTTATATTTGTTAATATTTATAAAACACCCAATTACTCATGCAGACACTTTTGTCCTTGCTTTTTAAAATTTTTGGACGACATTGCCCTTGTTATTGTCATTATTTACAAAAATACCATTATACCCAGAACTAACCACTATCGGCATCCACAGTTGACTGCCGCCGAAGGCTGTCAAAAGTTAGCATAATGGTGTGCGATCAGCCGTATATGGCCGGCCATGCGCCGATGAAGCTTTTTCCGACTGTGGTCGAAAAAAGCCAGATCTGGTTGTTTCACGACTAGATCTATGGCCATTTCACAGCCAATGATGTGGCTGTGAAACGGTGACTGATCTAGCTGTGAAACAGCTAGATCTGTGGCATTGTCAGAGTCATGACTAGATTTGTGGCATTGCCAGCGGCCGCCAGCAGTGGTGGCTGGCTGCCGACAGTGGCTTGGGGTGAATAGAGGTGTTTTTGTTAAGTTTAAAACGTTTTTGGTTGCTAGGGTGTTTTTGCTAAATCTGAAAGGTAGGGGGTTAAAAAAATTATTCAAAAAATAATACTAATAAATATTGTTATATTAATATTTAAAAAGGAGGGTAATTTAGTAATCTACATAACATACTCACCCATTTATCCTCCCAACCAAACATATTATTCACCAATTTATTTGAACCAACCAAACACATTTTCTAAACATTTATAGTAATCTTCAAGGTGATCTTTTATTTCGTTAATATAATATCCCCCTATAATAAAACATTATATGATCTAAACGCTCCCCTTGTGCTATAACTATTTAATTTTGTACTTATTTTTTAATTTATCTTATTTTTTTTAATTTATTTGGTTAATCATTGCGATATGTTAAAAAGCATTTTCTATATAAACATTTATTTTTAATTATGATTTTTCTACATATAATCATGAGTTAATTAAATTTTTGATTAAATTGTTTAAGATATGTAGCAAGTTATCATAACTTAACGGGTTACGAAGGGTGTCAAAAAATTAAGTAAAAAATTGAAGTTACAATATCATAATCCAAATTGGGTTAGCTTTAAATTAATTTTATTCTCTAATAACAAGGCAATTTCCTTTATAAGAATATTAACTAACCATATTCAATGCTCTTTAGATAGAAATAGAATTTGTTAGGTTTGACTTCAATAGTGTTTGACTCCAAGAATATTAACGAAATGAGTTTTTCGTTGTTATCTTACGGGTCTTGTAACTCCTCTCGAATCAAAGTTATGGCTGTTTTAAGTTGATATGCCCATTTAGGTTATTCGGTTTGTGCGTCTCATTGACATCATACATTGTTGGTGGAACCACTTTCGCTCGCCTTCTAACTTAACTCCAATTGCATCTCTTGGCCCGACTTGGCATCTATGCAATAAATCATAGAAATGTTGAAATACCCTTCTCCTTTTCCACTTGGCCATCCGAGTGGGAACAATGATGGATGGAATACAACAGTCAAAACGTTGAATTGTTACTTGGCTTAGCTCGGCCGCTCCATAGCTTAGCCTAACTATACAACTTCACTATAGATGTCTTCAACCCAATAGGACTAGCCGAGTGGATCTCTAGAGCCGAGTGGATCTCTAGGGCCTCTTATTCGACTATTGGTACACACTTAGATAGAATCAGATTCATTCGACT